GTGTGTGTGTGTTACAGACCTCGGGTAAGTCTGTTTACCGACATCCCCCTCCACCCCACACACACTCAATGTTCCAGCCACAGCCAGCACTTGGCAGTTTCCTGTGCATACCTTGTTCGCTCTGCCTGATTCTCCTCTCCTGCACCCCTGCCCCTGGCCAGAATCCCGACCCTCTCTACGTACCCCTGCAGCGGCCTAGAGAGGCTTTGACAGAACGTCTCCCCATTGCTGCTGCCTTTATGTGCACACACATGGGATCAGTGTGGGCTTCTTAAGGGCAAGGACAGCTGCCAGCGTGCTGTTATATCCCCAGAGTCCACTTTACACAGCAGATGCACAGTTTGTACTTGTCCGATGGAAGGCCTCAAGCAATCACCCTGCTATTGGGAGTCAGAGGGAAATAAAGGTAAAGTTCAGAGGCAAAGACAGCTCTGCTTGTTGGCCAATCCGGCCCAGAATCTTTGTCCTTTAATTCATGGGTATTGGTGCAATGACAGATTACGGCAAATACCGTCTCAAGAAAAGCTTGACATTCTTACTCATTATGGATGAAGTTGATCGTTCGGTGATTGTCTCCCCAGTGCAATGCAAGCTCAAACAAAGGAGGGGGGACGGGGCAGAAATCTTGTTCCTCTGTCCTCAGGGCCCGGAACAGGGCCCGGCATATATTACAGCTGCCATAAATATTTGTTGAATGGATAAATGAATAAACGGTCAAAGAGAAAAGAACTGTAAAAATCTGGTTAGGCTATATAAAAGCAATACTAACCATAATCATTTATGTCAAATGCCTTCCATTTATGCCCGATCAGCACGCCGCATGGTAATTATTATTCAGACTGCTAAATAGGTGTCAGATTAGCCTGTGTAAATTCTATTTGATGACACAACTACACCCAGTTCATGCAGGCCTGACTTCTGTCGTTCGTGGCGGAAGCCTAGCTAATTCTGGAGACCACGTGTGAGGACCACAATGTCTGAGGTCCCAGGCTGCTCTTCAGCCTCGACTGTATAACCCAGGGCACAAAGAAGAGAAAACAATCTCCTCTCAAACCTTGCAGGAATAAAAAGAGCCATCGTGTTACAGGACTGTAACGCTCACTGGTTTGCAAACTTCTTTCCGCAGTCTCTTTCTTATTTAACACACAGGACAAACTCTATCACAGGTGAGGAAGCTGAGCCCCAGAAAGGTGAAGTGCCCAGTTCAAGGTCACATGGTGGCTATGAGGCAAAGCCAGGGCTGGCCAGGTCTCTGACTCCACTGGCTTTTCTTGTCTAGCCTAACCACTTATATACGAGCACAAGAAGATGAAGCTTTCAGATGCTTTACCAAAAAGCACAACGAAATTTCAGGTCTTGTTTTCATTTTAATGTTTAGATGAATCTGGTCTTAGAACCAAAGAGGGCAGCCGTTAACAACTAAAAATATTTTTAAAACGTTTTTAAATGTTTATTTATTTTTGAGGGAGAGAGAGAAAGAGTGCAAGCAGGGGAGAGGCAGAGACAGAGGGAGACACAGAATCCAAAGCAGACTCCGGGCTCTGCACTGTCAGCACAGAGCCCGATGCAGGGCTCAAACTCATGGACCGCGAGATCATGACCTGAGCCAAAATCGGACGCTCAACTGACTGAGCCACCCAGTCCCCCCTCAACTAAAAATATTTTAGTAGTTTTTTTTTTTTTTTTTAACATTTGAGAGACAGAGAAAGAGAGCATGAGCAGGGGAGGGGGAGAGAGAGAAAGAGAGGGAGACACAGAATCCGAAGCAGGCTCCAGGCTCTAAGCTGTTTGTTAGCACAGAGCCCAATGCAGGGTTCAGACTCTCGAACCGCGAGATCATGACCTGAGCTGAAGTCGGACGCTCAACCGACTGAGCCACCCACGCACCCCAAAAACATTTAAATAATTTAGGGATAAAAAAGACATGATCCTGGAGATACTGCACCAAGGCCCGCTTCCCACTAACACTGTCCCTCCCTGGGGAATTTCTCCTCCTCCTGTGGCTCCTTACCACCTGCGTGGCGTGGTTTCTAAATCAGCATCCCATGCCCAGCGCTCTGCTGAATGCACAATACAGCCGCCTCCTGAAATTTCACCGGTGTTGCAGAGCACTTGAAACGCTCCCCGTCCCAGGCGAAAGGTATCCTCTCCACCACGCACACCACCTGCTTCTCCTATATCTTCCTTCTTTGTAGGCGGCACCACACCCCACTCATCACCCAAGCCAGAAAGCTGAGAGACGCCCCAGATTGCTCCTTCCCCACACCCCATTCTGAGCAGTCACTACTTGCCGACAACTCTGCCTCCGTGACCTTCTCTGCATCACCATGGACTCCCACGCTCCCCCCATCCGGATATTCTACGGCAGGGACCCAGACCTTAGCAATAGCAGCCTTCCTGGCCTCCTTCCCTCGGGTCTTTGCCTCCCTGGGTGGCTCCCCATTCGGCTGGGGGTGGGGATTCTTACCAAAACGCAACCACGATCATGACACATCCAGGCCCAGTCTCCCCGAGCTCTCCGCTGCCTCAGGGATCCAGGGCAAACTCCTCACTCCAACAGGCAAGCCCTTCGTGACCTGGCTCCCGCTCACCTGTCCCTACCGCCCCCCCACTGCACCTGACACTCTAGCAGAGCCTGAGCCCTGACTTCTCAAACATGTCACCTCTGTGCCAGCTTCCACACCGGATATGGCCTCAACCCGTGGTGGCCTGGGTTTCTATAGGCTAAACTGCATTCTCTCCCCTCTCTGTTTTTCTGTGATCCCTTCCCCATATGCTGCCACCAGGCCTGGAACATTCCTCATCAGGGCACACAACCTGCTACGAGG